CCCGGCTTCCGGCGGCCCAGTGGTGGCCGGCCCGACATCAGCTGCAAGTGGGAGCGCGGTTGGAGATTCGGCCATGCTAGCATGGAGTGGCCCAGCCCCATTTGGCCCATCGGGCTCATCAGTGGCGCAACAGATGGGGGAGGGGCCCACGGCCGCTGGTGCGATGGCGGTTTGGGCCGCAACCGGTGCGTCTCCTCCCGCCAGAGCCGCCGAGGTGGGGGCGGGAAACACTGATGACCGGTCAGCTGTGGTGTCAGGGCCTGTGGGACCGTCATGGGTACGCGAGTCGTTGCTTTGCCCCGACAAGGCGGCAGGCGATCCTGGCCGTACTGAAGCTCCTGGCGCCACTGGCTGCGAGTCTGGGATCTGGCTCAAAAGGGCAAGATCCCGACACGAAGATGGATCAGTAGCGGCAGAGGCGGGCCCCGCTGAATCGTCCTCGGGATCGTGGGAGGAGCCCGAGTTTGAACTTCCCGGGCCTTCCGGCTCCACAACGACCGGTGATAGTGCGCCAGCTGGCCCCTGCGCAGCCGACCGCGCGGCGTCATTGGGAGCGACAGCCGCTCGCGTAGGATTTGCTGCCAAAGCCTGCAGCTGTGGGCCTTTTCTTTTCCCTCTTTTTCCTCTTTTGGCTCGTTGACGAGAGCGAACCGGGCCCAGCTGACCCGGCCACGCCAACATGTCGTCCCGCGGTGGCCGGATTGGAGACGCCGCCGCCGCGACCATTGCTGGCCGGGGCTAGGCGGTCGCCGTGTTCAGCCCATCAGTCCGCCCAGAGCGGTCGCCGGCGTGCCAAGCAGGCGCATCCATGGCCATGCCATCCGCCCGGCCGGCCGGCGCTGCATCGGTACGCCTACGCTTCCGGCCACGGCGCCTTGCCCGACCATGACCGGTGCCCTGGCCTTGGCCGTGCCCGTTGCCGTCGCCGCCTCTGCCGGGGTCGTCGTTAGCCTGGGCACCGGGAGGAGGCGCCCAGAGCGGGAAGGATCGTGCGAGGGCGATGGAGACAGGGTACGTGAGCGTCCTGACCTCTGGCGCCTCGAGGGGATGCGGGCCGGCAGTAACTCGACGATCTCCAGGATCGCGGCGCGGCGGATGTCGGCCGGGTCGTGCACGCGGGCGGACAGGCGAAAGACGGCCATGTCCTCGCGAGAGCGCGTGCGGGGGTGCAGCCGCTCGACCCAGCAGCTCGCTCCGAGGATGTGCTCGGCGGTGGAAAGGTGCCAGGCTTGGGCGGGGATGCCGCGGAGCTCGAGCTCGACTCGGTGTTCAAACCCGCCGGCGCCAGCGTGCGCGAGCTTGCACCAGGGCCGCAGCGACAACGCGAACCGTGGTGAGCTGATGAAGTGCTCGCCGTTCAGACGCCGCATGGTTTCCAGGGAGGAGAAGAGGATGAGGAAGTCCTCGGGGTGGTGCAGGTGCACGGTGAAGTCGCCTTCGGAGAGCTCGAGGGAGCGGTAGAGCAGCTCGGCCACCTCGGTTGCGGCCACCTGAGGTCTGTTGCCGGTGATGGACGCCACCATAGCGCGGCCAAGGACCCGCTCGACCTCCTCCATCTCCGTGGACTGCGCCATGATGACCCGCACGGGCACGTCAGGGCACGATTGAGGGGCCGGCGCCGGCGAGGGGAGCGTGGGAGGCGCCGACGGGGTGGTGGCTCGACGATGCGTGGGGGGAGCCGGGGCAGGAGCGTCACGACCAGGGGCGTCAGAGCGAGGACGTGCGCCGGACGTCGCAGTCGCGAGACTCATGGCCTAAGGTGAGGCAGCGCCTGCACCGGACGTCGTTGGTGCAGTCGCGAACCCGGTGACGGTGGTCGAGACATCTGAAGCACAGCCCAGCCACCTCCTCCGGAGACGGGCTGCGACGGCGAGGAGGTGAGCGGCTGGCGGTGCCGTCCTGGCTCGGGTGGCGGCGGCGATTCCTGCGCCGCGGTTGTTGGAACCCATCCGCGTCGAGCACGGCCCCGCCGGAAACGCGGTGCACCTCCGAGCGGGGGCCAAGGCGTTGCCTGGCGGGCACGCGGGCACGCGAGCGGCCGGCGAGGGGCGGCCGGGAGCTCTGGCAGCCGGCGGCGCAGCAGGGGCCGGTGGGGTATGACCGTGCCGAGGACTCGCTCTCCGAGCTGAGCCAGCGTTCTCCAGAGGAC